GCTCACACCCGAATTATGTGCAATAGGGAACACATCTCCATTGCCTCAGACAACTTTGCCGTCTTGTGACAGGTTATAGCTCATGCAAAGAACAAAACATTCCCGCTATGCTAGTAGTGGGTCTTGGTGGCACAAACTCAATATCTGAAATGACTGGCGTTTTGGAGTCTCTGTAAATGGTGCCTGATGTCGTAAGGCCGTCGGGAGCTCCGGCGGCTTCTAAGGTTAGGGTTGAAATGCAGCGAAGCTCGCCTGGCCAGTTTCACGAAGCAGTAGCTCAGTCTTGTTTTTGACCATTCACTACAACATGGCTAATTCTGTCAATGCGCACCGTTGCGCCATCTTGCACTGTCGATCGGCGACTGTTCGGAGGGCCGCCGATGCCCGAACGACGTTGCGTGTAAGCCTATGGCTTACAACAATGACATTGACAGCTCTTCCCACGCCTTGGTCATGTATATGTACCTCGCGCTCGCATGTTGCACTAGCATCTTCTTCTTTCGTTCCGAATCCCATGCAGATTCTTGTTTATCTCTGCGTGTGATTCTTCTCACTGCCTTACTCTTGCTTAGTGAGGCTCGCCACGCCAGGCGAGTCTACATTGCGTCGTTGACAAGGCGAGCACGCCTGAAGCCAACCTGAAGCCGTGTCTGAATGCACGCTTCAGTAACAGCTTACGAGCTCGCCGTTCACAACAGAACGGGAACTCTACTTCTACGAGTATTATAGTGCACGATGACAGGGCAAGCTATCGAGGACGTTGCACCGAGGGAGAGGAAGAGGGAGGAGGAGTATAGAAAGAAGGAAGGCGATCAACTCTGAGGAAGAGATCGGGAAAGATTACACGAAGGGAACGAAGGAGTTGAAGAGGATGAATTGACGTATGCGGGCCGAGACCAGGGCGCCGAGCGTTACGCACGCGCCGCGAGTAGAGTAAGTGTTGCATTGAGCAGTATTGAGAATCGATAACAGACCCTCCCAAAGCCGCAATACAATGCTGCAGGACCCTAGTGCTTGCTGGATGCTAGCGCTGTGCCGTGAGCGCGACATGCAGCCATGTCTCAGCGTAACAATCTGACGTCCGCAGAACGAGCTCGAGGACAGACGCCCGTCGTCGAACGTCGGACGGCCTGTCGAACAACTTGAGCTTGGAAGACATGGAACTACACCGGTCACCTCATCCTGTGTCGCAGGTACTGCTTCGAGCTTGCAGACCTTAGCGGGTCTTGCCGCGTGCGGCCTTATAGCAGTTATTGCCGCATTGTCAAGTTGAAGTTGGCGCAATCGGCCTGAAGCTTTGGACTTATGCGCGTTACTAGCACATATCCTATGGCTTACTGAAGTTCAGACTCTGCCATCACCAAACTATGCGTGATAGTCGAGGTGCGGTGCTACCCCAGGTACTTTTGTGAATCATATTGGTACAGTCTGTATGTTGGTCTTTATGGCGCTTGCGGAAATTGACAGCTATAGCTCTCAGGTCACAGGTCATGTTTTACAGCAATCCATCGTCAAACCGCACACCGAGATGTTTTTGGCTCTCGCGGTCGCTCTTTCTCGATGACGGCCTGTTTCTTTTTGGGGCATGTCGCATCAAGCATGGCGCATGCAGCGTGCGATTTGCTCGGGAGAGGAGCGGTATAATCGTACTGGCAAGCCTATTTGATGAACCACGTGCGGGGTGAGAACTCCACCCGGCAAACCGCACACCGCGTTCACACAATACGTGTGCAATATATGTATACGGCTCGATCGCTGAGCTCGCGCTAAGGCCAATTTAATGCTCCCGTGCCTCTTGCGGGAGGGACAGCACGAGAGCTGTACGACTGACGGCCATTGTTGCGATGTGCGAGCTGATGATGGTGTGCGGCCTGCCAGTGGATCGCTGTACAGTAACGCATAGTGTTCTTTGGTTATAACATGACTCATCCACAATGATCATCTCGATCTTCTCCCGACTTGGAGTGTGAGCACAGCGCGCATACGGTCCTCGTCCCTAGCTTCAATAGGTTGAAGAGCTTGACGACCGGAAAATCTTGGACGAGGAATGCTTAGCAAGAGGGTTCTGGACCCATCAGTATATCCAAAATCAACGCCTAGTGTGTCCCAGTGGATCTTGTCGACTGATGTACACGAAGTGAAAGATGCCCAAAACACACTCATCATTTAAGAGGACGGTGTCGAAAGGGTGTAATGCCACGCCAAGGTTGGGGTCCTCGTGCGATGGAACCGAGCATTCATTGACTTATACAATGCCTCATAAGGTTACAGATATAAACGGGAATGCACTTCGGGTACAAGCTTAGCTGGTGTGGTATATGTAAGATGGTGCGGTGCAGAGAACGGGACATGGATTAACGAGCAGCCACACCCGAATTTGTGCATGCTATCCCACCAAGCCCTTCCTTCTCGCTCCCGTGCTCCCCCTCATACAAATCTCTGAGATATTCCGTTGGAATGATGAACTCCCAATCTTCGCA